TACGAATATGTATATTTCATTCAATCCATTCACTGATACACCCGGTAATTTCTGTAAAATATATGTTGGTTTGCTTACCTCCCTGCAATATGTGTCTCTCCAGTGATGGGAATTTTGGTGAATAGTCTGACCATGTAACCATGACATTATCTACAACAAATGTCCATGATATTAAGATTTGGCGAAACAATGGTCTGTGTACAAAACCATGTTTAACTTTTTGGAATATTTGATGTTTGTTGTTTCTTTCCCGTGTTGTATTAAAATTTGTCTCATATCACAATACCATTTGAATATTCCCCTGTGCCGAATCGAGCTTGCCCGTATACCAGATCACAAACAACAATAACACACTAATCCAATAGCTGAACATAATGATTCGTAGCTAAATATGGCACGATACAATAATACAAATGTTATCCTCAATAACAACGTCAGGTCATATTCCCTAATATGCCCACACATACTATAGTTTGCATCTGCAATGTAATGACTTGATTTATAGCATACATCAAACATAATACATAGCATGGAACTATTACCTCCCACATTGACTTGGGTAACTCGCCATCCAGACTCAATAGGTTCGTAGTTATCTCGCTCTATGTTCACATGTAGTTTAACTTCATCTATTTCAGCGCATGCCAACTTGTTGCAGACTGTTTTCTGTTCAATCCCAATACGCTTGCTATACCAAACACGAATATATTCTGTAATTTAATAAATTATTATACATCTGTCATCGTAACGCCATTAGTTACAACGCGCCGCTAACGGGGTATTTTCATCCAACTTATAAGGAAATGCGAAATTCAAATATGAAATGATAGTACGCGCGCAAGCGTCCTCTAATAATAAAAACAAACATGGTTGCCACCAGGGTTTAACCGACCTCCAACCAAAGAAGTTCGCTGATTCTGTTCTAAACTTTTTGGATTTTGGCATTCCCATGATGTATCCTTGGAAGGAAAAGATGTATGATAATAAAGTTATTACGAAGATACCTCAAAGTATGCACTCAGACAGTACGCCGTCGCATCGACCTTCGCTGTACTGTCTTCTTGCATACTTTGAGGTATAATCGTAATAAACTCATAATATATCACAACATTATCAATACTAGTGAATTTTATGATGTCATTGCTGTATTATTTGCAATAACGTATCCCATTATTTAGCCCGGCCTCGTACCAAAACAAATAAAGGAGAGGGTATTTAATGAGAAGACAAACTATGAGGTAACAATCTAATACTAAAATCAGCATGATATAAAATGGCTATTGCTAATAACAACAGATTTTTATTGCGGTGAGCGTCGTGTGGTTGGTCAGCCGAAGCGCGTTCGTTCGCGGCGTTCCTTCTATCCTGCGCGCTTCTAGATTTAGCAACGGATGATGCTACAATGGTGGCCGCTCGGTCATGTTAATGATCTAGTAAAAACATAGTTGAACTCTGGTGACCTTGCCCTTTGTTATATAATATTATTCCCTTTATAATAGTTTGTTTCATTATCAATATGCATTGTCATAAAATAATTTGGAATACAAACAAGTTTTGGGGTTGAAACAACAGTGGGGAATCAGTCTACCGAATGCCCTTGATAGATGTAAATATCTTACAAAAACATTGGTGCCTAATTTGTTTAATTATTTTAAGGGATATAATTTCCAGCTTTATTCAAAGTAATTCAGATATATCATAAAACATGCAAGATAAAAGAAAATCTTAGCTGGCTTTTGTTCAAGTATTTTGTACAGGTGTCTATCAAAAATTAATGATTCACTGAGACAAATACGAACTGCCTTATTATATTCATTGTGTGGCTACTGTATTATATGAAAAGTAAAAAACGCCCTCTATGAACAGCTATCAAGTTGCAAGCTCTGCTTTGTAGGCAAATCAACTTAAATAGTTAGTTGGTGTGCAGTGGAGAGAGAAGTCAACAGTACTGTTGCCTCCTGAGAAACTGCAATCTTTGTTTTTGAAGTGCGTTCTTAAATTAGTATTATAAAAGCACTATCATTATGTTCTAATAGCTGAAACAAATTCTTGTGAATTTTCATTTGTCGAATGAACTGATTGTCTAATACAGAATACATATTTTTTAGTACAATTTTCTTTTCAAAATGTGGATGCAACATTTTGCTTTTTATGTATTGTTTTTGATTTTATAACTTTGAACTAAACAGATTTTCTATTAGTTTCAGATCTTGATCAAAGTTGACAGTTGCCAATAACATCTACCCTGATACTTTGAAAATACTCGTGAAATTAGGTAACGACACGACTACGTACAGTCCATTAAACTAGATTAAATCTTTTATTCTCATTTTATTTTGCCATATGAAATTGTGTAAACGAATTTCAAGAATGACGATTTAAATTATTCAGACTCAGTGGCCAGCGTGACACTGTAGCTGCGGGTCCATAGCTCTGTCGGTCTCTAGTCTTTGTCATGGTATTTTAGTCATTTCTGGTATATTTTGTGTCTTTAAATTTGTTATTTTCAGATGCTTTATCAAATTTTATTTGCGATGAGATTTAGCGTCGCACGTTTGTGTTACGCTATGGGAGGAACCATAGCTCTTCTGAAAATAACAAATGTAATGACCCCAAATGTATCACAAATGACTAAAATACCATCACAAAGAATACAGACTGAGACTAGAAGAGATATGGAGCCACAGCTAGTAACACTGAAACTGTTTCGTTTTCTGCTTTATAATGGAAGCAAATTACTGGCTACAAAATAATAACAATAATGTACACCCCACTAAACCACAGTGAACTCAAGCAGCCTTTGTAATTATGGGGTACGGGTCACTATTCTAAGTACAAAATGTATATAACATCATTTGAATTAACAGCTGGCAATCATATCACATACCATTTACCACATGTCAATTAATAACATATGCATGGTCAAGTAAGTCAAAACGGATATATATGACTTTCTAAGCATCAACAAACAATACCAGATGTTCCAAGGCATATTTCAGATACAGATACCTTGTCTAGTGATTTAGAAATGTTGTTTATTCACTTTTGATTTCCTACATACACTTTATAGTACTTGCTTTGCTTAGTGTTGCAATAAATCATTTTTTGAACATTCAACTTACCAGAGTTTCCATCTTCATTGATGAGTTCTGTTTTAGTCTGTAGTTTACGCTAAAGGCAAAGTTGAACAAATGTAAACAAAATGAACCTCAACAAAAATCTTCTATCACATTGACATTGTTACTGTTAAATTAATAATCAATAGGTGAAGTTGTGTACATTTTCATAAATATATTTAAATTGTTATCACTTGACTTACCATAGCAGGGATATTTTCTTCACTTGTGTCTGATGAAGCCAAGTGAT